ATAGTGATCCCAAGATTTTCATTATATAGTTTTGTGTGTTAACTATACTTTGTGTTATACCATTGATCTTACAATTAGGAAAATATGGGATTTTCCTGGGGTAAATACAATACATAACCAAATTGGTAACAAACGATAATTTAACCAACTTCACATAAGAAAATATGGGATTTTCTTGGATAACAAATCTTTTCGGAAACTAAAGGAAACCAATACATTTTCACAAAACAAAACCACTTATGAACTCACCAGCTTTATGCTGATTTTCAAACCGCTTGTATTCTCAGGTCCAAGTTAGACAGGTACCCGGTGATCTCTTTTGGCGAAGACGGAGTGCGTAGAAGACTCGTCTCAACTTTTGTTAATATGATGCATATGTATATTTGTATAACTTTACTTTTGAAACACATGTAAACTTTCATATATATGTAATGTAATGTTTGTTTACTGTGAATACTATGTACATTGGATTTGATACACAACGTGGTAGTCAACCCCGGAGACGTTTCCGCCTTTGGTTTTCGGGGTGTGACATAAGGTTTGCAACCTATCATGTTGACATAATTCTCATTTCTGTACCTACTTCAAATAAGTTGAATTTGCATGTGAGTTATCAAAGTTCAATTTGGAAGCATTGGTGGGCCTTGTGCTACCAAGGTGACAAGAAACTAAGATTGAACAAGTTTAATCCATGTAAGGCTGAATTTGTCACTAACCTTATCTTGTGATTATGGTTTTGACAAATTCGCATGGATAGGAACTCATACACTATAAAATCTAAGTGTCATAAGGTTTCTCTCCGATTCATGAAAATGATGGTGAGGAAACACTTTCACTAAGTAGATTTTACGTAGATATCAATTGTGTTATTTGCATTATCAAAAGTCGTTAGTGGAGCGCGTGTGGTTAACTGGCACACTAACATGGACTTGTGAGAAATGGCAAATGCCTAAGCAATTGAGACTATGATTACGGCATCCCTTTTCATAGTTCTGAAAATTGTTTAGACACACATGTGAGCTATCTAAGAAAGGATGTATGAATCTAAATTTCAGAAGTCCAGCAGATTTCTGAAAATATGTCAGAGCTAGTGGGAGCATAAGTGTTATGGTGATAATCATCATGTTAGTGGGAGCATGATTATTATTATGATTAGTATTGCAAGCTAGCAATGTTAATTATAGAAAACAAAAAGTAGTTTTGCTATAATTAAGGGAGAGGAAATTATACTTCATTTCAATTCTAAAGATTAGATTGAGATTTTAAGCATTTTTAGTCAATAATATATATGAATTTCATGTTGGAATGGTTCAAACTTGAGGAAATTCTATATATATTGCGTTCTCAAAATTCAATTATGACTACGGCATCCCTCTTCATAGTTAAATTTTGAGAACATGGCAAATAAAAATATTGTAGCAAAAGACTGGTCTAGTATCATGTCTTTATGTCAAACATCATGAATCGTGTCCCATATGCTTCGAATATAGGATCGATTGCATGTGCTATAATATTCATCTTTTCTAAATTTTCCAAATGCTTAAGGCATTGACAAAGGGAAAATTCTAGAACTGGATATGACTAAAAGTGATTAAGCAATTGTCGAGGACAATTTGAGGTTTGCCAAAGATTGGTTGCTCAAGGACATTTGGAAGTATAGTGTTAATTTTAGCAGGACCATATTGACATTTTCTGAAAAGAAGTAACTCTTGTTCGGAAGTGATATTCAAAATGGGACTATGGAAATGTGTCCATAGGTGGAAGTTATTCAATCTATGTAAGATTAGAAAACCTTAATGCAAGAAGGATGTTCAAAGCAATGTACTTTGAATATGAGACTTTCGTTCCATAGAAGTTGACCTTCTTTGGAATACTCTGTAATGACTAGTGACAAGGTTTTGGTGACTTTGTGAATAATCATTACAAGAGGAACAATGCATATAAGTTTAAAGTCTAATAGATTTTTGGTAAATGGTAGAAATTAGAAATTCTTACATTTACAATAAGGATTTGGGATTGTGAAATGAGTATCATTGGAATCATGTTCAATTGATCTACATCACAATGTAAGGATCATAGACAAACATAGTGTGCATACTTGGGGTATGGCATAACTATTGTTTAGAAAAACAAAGTGTACATGCTAGGAGCATGGGATGACTGTTGTTTTTATTCAAGTCTTAAGTTGATTATTTGAAACATTGAATAATGTGTAATCAATATGGTGATAAATAAAAGGTGGTTTTATTTATATTCAAAAGGGTTCTGAGACCATATTAGATTCGATTATTATTGTGTTTCACTTTGCATGTTTTGACTTCCAAAATAGCTAGGTTATTCTTTCTGAATGACTAAGTTATTTAAACACTCCACAGTCGTTCATATGTTGGAAGTAGGTATGAATCAAGACTGTCATGAATCGGGTTTGTAGATGGCTAAATGGGTTTAGTCATGCAATGGTTGCTACAACATTCATGAGTGCTCATAAGTTATGAGTATTGGAATAAACCCACGCTCACTTGTATCACTTCATGGAATTTATCTCGAGTGATCGTGAGACGGTAATATCATATAAATCTTCAAACCTAGAGATATGAGTTGTTACCTATGAGTTGGTTGTGCCTTGATTGCACGTAAACGCATCAGTAACTTGATGTTATAAAACGTGCCTTTGTGTACAATTCAACAAGTAGTAGAACAAGCATATGAGTCGAAGTTTATCTGTTCCTTCTAGAAATAGAAGCGATATCTGGGCCCCTCGATGATTTTGTTGTGACCTATGTACCGGCCGGTCAGAACTGAATTGATGTGTTCGATTAAGTTCTTTGTCAAACAAATCGAAAATCGGGAAACAAACTGCTGGACAATAAGTACGACGTTGTTCCATGTATTTGTCCGGCTGATATCATGAGAACAGAGGATTATATGATCCCTTATCTAATGGACAAGTCATTGACAAGATCAGAGTTCATCTACAAGGTCAGAGTTCGACAGAAGCTTTTGAGAGCTACGATTGCCAGTTGGTTCCTGAAGTCATACGCAATAAATAGTTTTAGACTTATCCAAGTGGGAGACTGTTGGATTAATGTCTAAGTCCATAACTATAATTGGTAAGACTTGACCCGACCCGGCATGGTCCATTTGGGTTGCATACCTATCATGCACTTGGATAGACTATAATGAGAGAAATAAGACACTTATGGTTATTAATATATTATAAGTTCTAGTATATTAATAATAAGAATAATAAGATTATTTAATTAGTATTGATCAAGAATTAATCTAGGATTAATTAAGTGATCAAAAGAAGACTAATTAAATATATGGGTTGATTGTGTAAATCATCCATACTTATATAGTGGGCTAATGCTCCATGGATAATCAAGTTGGGCTAAAACCCATAGGATGGTCCATGGATGCTCCATGGTGTATTTGAACCCATGGATCCAAGGAAATGGAAAGCCATGACAATTAAGGATTTACCCTAATTGTAACACTATATAAAGATCTTATTCTTGACAAAAATCGGCCACTAGTATTATTCTAGAGAGGGCTAGCCGATTTCATGAATTGTAGAACTCTCTCAAGTTATTATAAGTGTTTTGATGATTGTGATTCCATTTGAGGCTTCCACACTATTGGGGCTAGGCACTCAAGCTTCATGAAGACTTTCTACATCAAAGAGGTATGTATTCTATCTTGTTACACTCATTGTTTTGTATGCTAGATTAGGATAATACCTTGGATGTTCTTATTTGCATGTATAATAGAGAAAACATAGATCCAAGGTATTTAGGGTTGCATGTACACTTAGGAGTGTTAGAATGCTCAAAACCCAACAAAAATATCTATTTATGGGTTCCCGAGATCAAGAGTAAGGGAGTTTCGGTCTTTTATGGGTATTAGGTTTTATTCGAAAAGGGTTTTTGGGTCGGGGTGTGTCGCTAGAAGCGTAGGTCTTCTCGCCACCTTTATGTGGATATAAAGTTCGTCGGGAACGGACTTAGGACGAAGGAGATGTTGTAAATTGAAAATATTGGATACAATGGTCCCTAAAGGGGAAGTTTAGCAAAGGGGTCCCATGCATTCCAGACATGCATGCACATGTTTGGTTGGGTAAGCCTAGCATGAGCTGGATGTACGCTCAGCGTAATGGAGTAAATAAACGCGGAGGTCTCTCGACGTACGCCCAGCGTACTGGATGTATGCCCAACGTACATCTATCATACAGGAACCCTAAATTTAGGGTCAGCCACTATATAAGGAACATTATGGTTCCAACCCTAGCCTCCATAAGCACTCTTTTCCCCTCAGAAAGCACTAGATAGCAGTCCCACCTCCATTGTTAGGTGTGTTTGACCTTGGAAAGCTTGTTTTGGCAAAGGATAGCCAAGAAGAAGAAGAGGAAGTTGTCAAAGAAGGAGTGGGGTGGCGGGAGCTCATAGATCTGGAGAGGCACACTACTAGAAAAACAGCCTTTTACGACGCTCATTGCGCGTCGTAAAAGGCTCAGACGACGCGCAAATGCGCGTCAAGGAAGGCCCTGTCATAAAGAGAGACGACTCGCTTTTGCGCGTCATCTATAGACGAGGCGCATTTACGACGCTCATTTACGACGCTCATTTACGACGCGCAATTACGACGCGCGTTTACGACACGCATTGCGTATCAAGGAAGGCCATGCCATAAAGGAAGACGACACGCATTCGTGTGTCGTAACTTTATGACGCGCATGTTAATGACACGCAATGCGTATCAAGAAAGCCCTTGTCAAGAAAGGCCATGTCATAAATGAAGATGACACACATTTTTGCGTATCATAATTTTAAATGTTTAAAAAAAATATTATTTATAGATTTACTAATTTTCAAATTAAGTAATACATTAAAAATCTCATAATAGAAAATAAAATACCATAAATAACAAAGACAATTCATTTCACTAATATGTCAAATACAAATCGTTATTCCAAAAGTGAGTAAATGTTATAAAAAATGAACTCATTTATATACAATTGCATCATCACGACTAATCGGTTTTATAATCTCAAAGTCATCAATGGAAGTGCGGTCCTTATTTCCGGAATGTATAGGGTTGGTTCTCAAGCTCCGTACCACATCATCCTCCAATGGAGCATCTTCATCGATAACCGTGCTTGCGATGTTAACTTTTTCATCATCAACCATCTCACAAATCTGCAAATACTTCTCCCTGCTTGTAACAACTAATAATTAACATTTATGATTTATGATTTATGATTTAACAAACACACACCTCATAAAAAACATGTTTATTATAAAAATGTTATCACCGAATAAGCTTCTCTATGCGTGCTCCAAATGTCTCAACGGTCAGGGCATCAAACTTTCTCCGGTCGATCACGACTCTTAAGTCATCAAGACACGTCAGCAGATATGACAAAGATCAGTCATCATCCAATGGCGTATTGCCAGCACATCGAGCAATATCAGCAAGATCATTCATCTACAAATATTTGAATATCAGTACCTATATCTCATAACAAATAAGAACCTATTACCTACCTGTGGAAGGTCATCATGTTCAGAATAGGCACCCATCCCTGCCAATAACAAGTCTATCTGGCTGGTTTTTGGTGTCATCAATGGCGACCTAGGAGTCATGCTGCCAGCAGATGATGTGGTCATCCATCGATACAGAATTATCGCCTTGATCAGGAAAACAATCAAGCATGTCTTCTGAACCTCTACGTGACAATCACTAAGCTTAGGGGACATGAAATCAGTCTTCGGTAACACTTGAACTTGCTTTAGCATCCACTTCTTCCTTTTCTTTGTCAAACTTACCCCGTATAATTGACAAAACCTCCTGCTCCCGCTCACATAAATTAAATTTAAATCAATCAGCTATTTATTTTAATACAAATATACAACAGAGGATACATAAATAAATGTCTGCCTACCTCTACGTTATTTAAACCTCAAGATCTTCAGTTTGTGAAACCAGGAAAAAAAATCCAGATGGAAGTGTCCATTGGGAGTGAAACCAGGAAAAAAAAATTGTAATCTTCTTATTTGTGACTATTTTAGGGTTCTAAATCACAGATCTTCAGTTTACAGTCAGAATTAGCAAGAATGTTTTTGGGTTTTAAATCCAGATGGAAGTGTCCATTTTGAAACCCTAATTAGAGGTTATGTGTTCGAATCTGGTGGAAAATGGAAACTGTTTGATTGGTTGTCCCCTTTTCATATCCAAACCTTCAATAATTCAACTTTGACTGATGCCTGCCATTTAAAAAGATTTGGAGTATTGATAAGATGAAGCCAAGTAAGTGACTGAGTACCAGATTGTTGCAGACATAAGCTTAATACATCCCTGTTATAAAACATGGTGTGTGGCTGATAATGGACAACATGTATTAAGTAATTTAAATTGTAAAGTCAAATATAGATCTAGAGTCTAAATTGTAAATTTAAAATGAGAATCCGTAAATGGTGTAACGTGTAAGTAAATGTATTTACTTTTGTCCTATCGGATGTCATGTGAAGTAGAATCGAAAGTCTGTAGTGAGATTAATCTGTATTAAAAGCTTTAACATCCACTGTTTGTTATGAGAGGAAAAAGAATAGACATTACCATTAGTTAAATAGATTTTTGAGTGAGAAGGTGACAAAATTATTTAAAGAATAAAAAATGTGACTCACCTTCTTTTCGAGCTCAAGAAGTGATAGTCCAGCACTAAAAACATCAGAGTTCTGAGTGGCAACAGCTATACCCACATGAGGTGAAAGATAGGCATCATTTCCAGAGGAAAACAACATATTTCCCCCTTGTCCCACATAGTCCTGTTGGGAAAACATGTTGGGAGTAGGGGTAGTGTGGTCAATTGCTTCTAGAACTTGGATGTTCCTCCTTGAGCTAGTTGATTTTGGCTTTGAAAGACTAAAAGTACCCCTAAAGCTAAATTTTCCAGATCTGACAAGTTTTGTAACTGATAAAGGATCTGCATCTGCAGTCTCTGAAGGGTCGATTTCTACCATTTGATATGTAAGGGGGATAGAACAGTTATTACTTATCCATTATGGGTAAAAAAATCATATGATGTGAAAAAGACAAGTCCATCAGATGAAAGCCTGTATAATCAATAACTTATCAACATGTGAAAGATTAACCTTGCTAATTTCTCACATTTAATCAACAATTGGATTATAGGAGGGACACTTACAACTCTTTCATCTTTGAATCAAATTGAGCCTCATGAAAATAAGATCCTTCATGAACCATAGTCGCCATGACTGCACAAATTGCAGCAATAATCACTCTTAAGCAAAAGAAACCACGTGAAACGTCTGATTATCATAAGCAAGATACAGTGAGAATACAGGGTTCTTGATTACCAGGGTTATAAGAACTCGTAGAACCAAAAACCCTATTTCCCTAAATTTATTTAATTATAAACCACGTGATGGATGCAGGTATACAACCTTGCTTGTGGTTTAGAGCAACATTGACTAAAGGAGTCGACTAATTGGGTGAAGGACCTTCTAAGATGGATCCAAAAGCATAAGTAGCTCCTTCCCTTTGTCTCTAATCTGGTTTTGTTATCTTTTCTTCAATGGAAGGCATCACAAGTGGAACAATATCATTTCCTACTGTTCTTGCAACTAAACCAAGACAAGTTGCTTCACAAACAACTCTCATAATATAATCACGTTCCATTTCATTGGTGAAATTTGCTTGAGCAAAACCAAGAGCATTGTAAATTGCTCTAGTTACAGCGAGTCTTACATCATTACTAGCTTCACTTGAATTCATGCCTTGAACAACAGCTGTGAGGATTTTATTCACATGATCTTGTTCTACAACATCTGGAGAAACTTCTTCACACAAATACCCCAGAGTTTCTAAAGTGTCTTGCTTGACATGAACAGCGACTTGGTGAATGTTTGATAGAAGGGAGCCGATGAGCTCAGGCCATTGTTTTTGTGGAAGCTCTATTCCAGCAACTTTAGCTATAACTTGTGATGCAGTTGATCTTGCCTCATGAACAGGAGAGGTGAGTGTCTGTAATAGGTATGTCTTAATTTGTGATTTCACACCCACATCAAGTGATAACCATCTTTGGATGAGTTCATACTTTCTATGTTGCTCTTTTGCATCTAAAGCATTCTTGAGAATCAAACCAGCTAGTTTACGACTATCAACAGGCTTCTCATCATGAGCAAGTTCTCCAGAGAGAGATAACAGAAATCCAGGTAGATTTTGCTCCTGAAATTCCTTTAAACTCTCTTCAGCATGCTTCCGAACAGATCCATCAACAGCTTGTGCATTCAACAGAATTTGGGTAACTTCCAATGCCATAAATTTTTCTGGTGAACACTGCTTCACCATAAAAACAGGTTAAGATTATTTAAAACTAAAAACACCAACAACATGTTACAAAAGCAACATAAAATCCATATTTCCAACATTTACAAAGAACTGAATTTGAAATGTATGCAAGGTTTAAAAAATTAGAAAAACAAAAGCCAGAGAAAAAATCCCCAACATTTGTAGAAAAAGCTGGAACAACTATGAAAGTTGTTGCTGCACAAACTAAGGCAATTGCAGGTGATTTGGAAATGAATATATGTTTTATTTTTCATTTTTAAATTGTTTAATCGTTTTTTTACAATGTGAAAGTAACAAACATCTATCATTTTCATGATTTTTTTTTTTAAATTTGCAGATAAGATAAAAAAAACTGGGATAATGTTTGGGCTATTGGAACCGGAAAGGTTGCTACCCCGGCTCAGGCTCAAGAAGTAAGTAGAAGGGTATTTATGTCTTTTTGGATTGTGTTATTGTTGAAAGATTGAAAACCTTCTGAAACAGGGCTTCCAGAAACCCATGAAGACAATTCCTGTAAGGAAGAGACTAGATAACATGAAAAAGAGAGAAAAGACTATGAGAAACAAATCTGCCTCCTAGGTCGTTCATTTTCCTCTTCCAAACGTGAGATTTTGTTCTCCAGCTCATGTGTGTAAGCCTGTTAAACAATACAACATTTTCTCATCACATATTTATAAAAGGTAAAATGAGAAAGAAGACAGAACAGGTCAATAAGGTATACTTAGTCACCCAAAAAAAAAGCCTTTTGTACTCTGAACTCTTGTTTGTTGTACCCATAATCCCATATTACTTCCTCTGCTTCTTCTTTTTTTTTTTTTTTGTTATCTTTTTCTGAGGCAGACTCCATTATGGGGTCTTAGTTCCTTGATAAATTCGATGGATAAACATGTGTTCCCAGGGATAATAATAATCTTGCCATATGAAGATTGACCAACCCCATTCACGAGAGGTATAGCCACCAGATTCAACCTTTGTGTACTTCTCAAACGCCTCGAAAATTGACCAACCCCATTCACGATATCTGATAATAACATTAAAAAAATTAATATATATCATAAAAAATAATATATATATATATATATATATATATATATATATATATATAAAATCAAGATTATAAAAAAAAGTAATAATAATAATAATAGAACATACTTTGAATCTTTTGTGATACGATATAGAACAAACAATGATTCAACGGTTTTAGGGCGCAAAAGGTTATGGCGATCAACATGTTTGACGACAATGTCATGAATATACTCTGAACTCTTGTTTCCTCCATCAAGATTTTCCTTAGAGTAGCCCTGATTTATCAAAAACACTAATATTTATTAAAAAAAACAAGTAACATCTGAATAAAAATAAGTCACCACTATAGAAGGATTATAACTCTTAAGCCTTTCCCTTCCTTCATATCCAAGAAGCATCGCATACAGGGGCAAAACCGTCAATGCACCAGGGACCCATCATCCTTCTTTTCCTTTTCCTTTGATGAATCTGATTATTTCAGATCAGATTTACCTGTATAGATAATATTTAAAAAAAAAACATCAAAAGTTTAGTAAGTTATAACTTATAATAATAAATAAAGAGAAAGTTGATATAGAATCATGGAATCATACAAGAGCAATCTCCTGCCCTAGATCTGGATGCCTAGGAGCAATTATGGCAAGAATATTGATGTGCTTTTGCACTAAGGCTCTATGAACTAATACCATTACTATAAAAAATTGATCAAAATGTATTACCACTTCTGTTAAAAGAATGTTGAAAGTTTTAGTATTCAGTTGAACTAACATCCCCTGTGAGAAGACCCACGTCAAACTTCCTAGAAAAGTCCCTTGTACAATGCTGCATAAAAAATTTAGAAATAAAAAAAGGGTTAATGTCATAAATGGAAACCAACTATTCCAATTATGCATTCCACTTCTAATTCTAAATCTCACACCACTAAACTTTTTAATGTTGTTACAATCAGGTCAATGATCCAATTTATGATGAGGAGGGCATTTACGTCTTTTGAATAGACAAGATATCAAGAGTAAGATATTGTACTTTTGATGCGAGTGCAAAGGCATACTCTGCAACAACAGTCTTTCCAGTTAAAGTATGAGCTGCTACAAAAACTGATTCCCCTTTCTCAAGTTAATATATAGCCTATAATCATAAAGCTAAAAGATGTATATGAGTTTAACCCTATTTAATTTTATATCAAATTAATATTAATATTACCTCCTTTTGGAATGCATCTAATTCAAAAGGGAAATCCAATGCCATATCAGGAACAAGTTCACTAAAATTATCGGCAATCCCATCACTACCCCCTGTAACTGCCCAAACCTACAAAGCAAACACACCCATTAAGAAAAAAAAGAATCATGCAAAAAAGTTTGAAGAATTTCAATCCTAATCAAAAGATACTTTTGGCTCCTTCTGTCGACCACCATCTCCGGAATCGGAATCATCCAATCCTTTGGTCAAGCCTTCGGATCCCGTTGACAAAATTTGATCAATACCAGATGATTCAGTGTCAAGTGAATCCGGTTTATTTTCATCTTCTAATGGAACAGATTTTGGAAACCCCAATTCAATAACATTCATTTCTAACTCAGCTGTATCTCCTACACGATGATCAATGTTATCATTATCAACCTCCCACAAAAAGATACTCATAGTCATAATACAAAGATATAAAAAAGACGAGTAAGGGTGTTTGTGTTCTAAACCGGATATCGGAAATGTCAGATACTAGATTAATCCAACAATCATTCCCTCATTCCATTGTCAAACTCAAACCACTGGAATTGGATTCCATTCAGTTTAATAGTGGTCTAAATCCCGAAAAGAAGGGAAGAATAATTGGAGGAAAAGAGTTGAATCATACATACCATCAATGGGAACCTCCATAACATCCTCTTCCCAAGCTCTTTAAAATAAGTCGTCAAACTGAACAGATAAAGTACTCTGTAGAGACAGCAACATATTAACTAGAAAGAATGAAACAATGGAGTCTGATTTTGATTTTGAGAATTGAACCTTATACTTCTCACATAAAATGCAAGAAAGTACGTTTCTATTTCTTGCATTTAACCCTTTACAGAATTGTAAAAGACATTATTTGTTTCAAGTTTAAAAATATGATGTCATTCCGGTACTTTGTTGTTTTTAATCTACAACAAAACATTTTTAATTAGAAAGGTAACTCGTTACACTTAGTATTTAATTGTGGGGTCTTAAACCAATCCTTGAGCCTTCATCAAGTTCCTAAGGTTGCTGTGAGCATCAACCTACATAAATATATATATATATATATATATATATATATATATATATATATATATATATATATATATATATAATTAGAAACCAAATAAGCAATAAATCAGAAGTAAACTCATTCAAACTATCAGCTATGGTATAACAAGACCAAAAGGCTAAAAGTGTAATATTGTCAAAACCTTGATTTGTCTTCTGAGTATATTTTCAGCCTTAATAAACCTTCTTTTCAAGTCATCCCAGCCACATACACACTAGGAAAATAAAAGTGTCAAAAATTGTTCAATTAGCAAGTCATAGAGAAATTACAAGTTGATTCATGAAAAAAGGGCTAAAATGTAAGTGTAAGAAACACCTGTATTGTGTGGAGCAGATTACAAGTTGCTTCAAGAAAGTCAGAATGTAATGTGTGGAGTAGATTACAAGTTGCTTCAGGAAAGTCATAGCTCTCCTTAATCCATCTGCATTGTTCCTCAATACTCAATGCTTCAGGGATGAAATAGAAACCTGACAACACATAGTTATCAAGTATCAAGTATATGTATAAACAAATTAACCACATAACATAACTAGAAGAGAATGGAGAAGAAATATCAAGAGAAAAAAAGGGGGGAGAATGAAGAAGAAATATCGAGAGAAAAAAAGAGCGAGAAGTTGTAAAACCCTAAATCTCCTTGACGGGGAGGAACAACAAAGATATATTACGATTTATTTTTGGAGGAGGCACTACCAACTTTACCTTAGACGATGCTTGAATCGTACCTATCTAGGGCTTCATTAGTTCATAGATGGCGATAGGGAGAAGTTGTAAAGCCCTAAATCTCCTTGTAAGTCTGACACAAGCACAATGTAACAAGCCCTAAATCGTAGTCTTGTGAGCGTGAGGATCCGAAAATGGTTGGCTCTTAAACAAATGCTTGTAAACTTGAGCAGTCGTTACAGTCTCGGTGAGGTGAGGTGAGCTCGAGGTTGCCGGCAGGAAGAGATGAGCGGAGGTCGCCAGTGGGAAGAGGTGAGTGGATATAAGCAGAAGTGAGCAGATGTAGTGAATAGAGATCAACATTTAAAAAAAACCCTAGATCCCCTGCGACTTTGTTATAAGAAGCGCGTTCATTTTTAAGAATTATAAAGCGACATGCCTGCACGACACACCTTTTTAATGGGTGCCCTCCGTGTTTTTTTTTTTTAAAATTATAAAGCGACATGCCTGCACGTCACGCTTTTCATAATGGGTGCCCTCCGAGTTTTTTTTCTGACACTAATTTTAGGTCACGCAAAAAATGCGCGTCCAAAATCCTTCATATTTTTTGGGAGATGACATTATTTTTAGGGTACACACTTTTGCGTATCGTAAATCACCGCGTGTCATTGTTCACGCGTCATTAAAGGCCTATATTCTAGTAGTGGCATCATCTTCTGTAGCCCTTTTGAGGTAAAAAAGTCTCTGGTTTGACAATCTTATTGTGTAGATCTATGTGTTGTGAAGTTTTGACACCATTCTTGTCCCAAAAACCTCATCTTGATGCATGATTCGAGGTGGTCGAGATTAGTTGTCCTTTCAGACCTTAGGAGAGGTCTTGAGTAAGAAAAATGAGGTCCCAAGGGCTTTGGTTGTCTCATATGTGATATAGGTAGGTCTTAATGGATTAAGACCTTGGGTTAAGAGCTTTATGGACGTCCCAAGTAATAAAGTTCGAGACTTTATGAATCGTAGGCATATTTGGTCTTTGGATATGAAGTTTGGGCTTAAGAGCTTAAGCCATCAAGATCTTATGTGGAGTTGTAATTCAGCGAGGTTACGCCCTGCGTAAATGGGAGTACGCCCAACGTAGTGGTTCTATGTCCCGATTCAAATCCGCGAGCATCGTTGTACCCCCAGCGTACCAAGAATGGTACGCCCAGCGTACTCCTTCTGTTGAGCTTTCATTTTGGGCCTTAAGAGATTGGCCTGTTATTGGGCTAATAGAGCTTGGGCCGTGACTGGACATTATGGATGGAGTAATTTGGACTCACTAATTATTATGGACCCTGGATCTAGGCCCATTTGGTGAGGTGGGCCCAATTTAGTAAATTAGGCCAATATTGGGCCTTGCTTTGGACTTTTGGTCTTTGGGCCATTAGTGGGCCTGAGAGCTTACCTAGTGCTGGGCCTTTCATATTTTGATTGTGGGCCTTAGTCATGGACCAGATTGAGTTAAGGGTAAATTGGTCAACTTATCCTTTGAAGGATATCGTGCCTAGGCTAATGGTTATTTTGCTACTTTGGATAGTTCGGAATTTCTTTTTGGTGAGACGGTGGTTAGGGCATCTACTTCTTCAGTTCTGAGTTTCGGTAGTTGCGTGGTCAGTTATCCTTACTATATCGACAGGGTCTAAGGCACCAAGGCCGGCCCTTTATTAGATGGAAATCCAGGTAGTTGTTTGTTATGTTATTGCTTTGTTATGTTTGCATCTTGGTAGTTAGGATTGTATATGTCAGAGACCTGGTTAGGGTCGATACACTGGTTTATAGAATGATGACATGCTAGTGATCGGTTAGGTCGATATCCTGGTAGGGATGTGCTATGTATGTGATATGCGAGATTGGTTGATTAGTTATGAATTGCAATATGATTATATGTTTATGTGTAGATGGTTGTTTAACTGGGGTTAGGTTGAGGCGGGTCCTGCTTGGTGCTGTAGGCCAACATACCCAGGGCGGACCGATTATCCCGAAGGCCCACCGAGCGGTCCGGATAGGCTGTAGGCCCCAAGAGGGCGGACCAGACGGGCCGAGGCTCGGAGACTTGACTAGGCCGACTGAAGGCCCGGTGCGGTCGGACTAGTCATAGTGTAGACTAAGAGAGTGGACCAGGCCGACTAAAGTCCTGGTGCAGGCGGACCAGTCATACTGTAGACTCAGAAAGTGGACCAGGTGGATTGAAGTCTCGGTGCGGGCGGACCAATCACACTATAGAGTCGATGTATATGGCTACACTCGGAGCGTGGACCAGGAGGACTGTAGGCCCGGTGCGGTAGACCAGTCACACAGTAGACCCAAAGTGCATGACTGTTATGTTCTGTTTATGATATGATATGTGTATGGTGTTGTGGTTGGTATTTTGGGGGTATCTCACTAAGCTTTCGAGCTTGCAATGTTGGTTTAATATTTCAGGTACTTCAGGAGTCCGTGGAAAGGCAAAGGCGTGATCGTACTGCTCCTCATATTTATTTTTTTTATATGGTTCTGGGAATACTTTGATAATAAATGTATTGAAAACCTTTTCGTAATAAATTAAATGAATTGGGTTGTTATTGAAAATTTTAAATTCGTTGGAATTTTTAGAGCGTTACATTCGGGGTTTAGTATACGAAAGACAAAACTGAGGTTTAGGTCGCATTGTTGATATGAATGACGAAGGTTTTGTGAGCTGACGGTTAAGGCGATAGAAACATATGAATTTAGTATGGTGAGGACCACGCAAACTCATGACAAATGATAGAAACATACTCTTTGCTCAACAAAAGTTTGGTCGATTTGAAAGAAATGTCTGTTATACGATGATGTACTCTTAGTGTGTTCGACAATGTACTCTTTGTAAATGTTCTTGTGCTTTCTGTTTTCCCATTGATGTTAACACTTCTACGTATCGTACCACAATGAGATGGTACATACAATGAAAGTGCTTTGATAACTAGTGTCGATACTTTATACTAGTATCCTCTTTGGTACCACTATGATCGCCTGTCGTATACAAGTTATGAATAATTAGGATGAATAAGACATTCGAATGAGTAACTCTGCCTCAAATCCACAACCAAACATGAAACAGGAATTAAGGAGGAATCATTCACTCTAAGTCTGCAAAATCCTAGCTATGCAAAACATTGACGTACGTACTAAGCCATCATAGCTTCTCTGAACGGATCTTTTTGTTTTCTTGAATATTGTGACTTGTTTTAATAAGTGAGTTATGATAATTACTTTTAAGTTTTTTCCCTAAGTTTTAATCTTATATAAATATAAATTAATTTATAAAGTAATTATTATTTAGAAAATGTGACGTTGCTCGCTAGCGACTCTGGGGTTGATTCTACTATGGTGACCATCAGAATTCGGCCATCCACTCCTGAGTTCTTTGTTATCAGGCAGTCCATCTGGTAGTGTTCAGTCTCACCACAACCGTAGCAGGCTTGGTTTTCTTCAACTCTGGGGACTTGGGAGATCGGTTGAGTCGGTGCCCTACAAAAACGGATTGTGTGTCCCTTTTTGTGGTAGTTCAGACACTGCATTTCCCAGCATACTCCGGTGTGGTTATAGTTACACTTTCCACACTTCAGGAGGGTTCCAGCATACCGACTGGTAGGTGCTGGAGTAGCAAGCATTCTAGCGGTGTACATAGTACTCGTTTTTTTCTCTTGTG